AGGGTCTTCTTCTTAACCCATTGCAATTTGCCTATTCTCTTCCTGACCCCAACTACGTTCTTTGCCGAAAAAATTACGCCTTTTTGAAACTTTTTTAAACCTCATAAAAGTTTTACTCTTTAATCCATAAGGATGGAATTAAAACACCTCGCTACCTGCTTTTAGTACGCCGACTGAACTGGTTTATTATATATTCGCTTGTCAACATCGAATAGCTTATGTCTTTCAACCAGACGGCGTACTGCGATACTGCTAATTCTAGACGAAGTTCAGTTACAATCATCAAACCCACTGAAGGCGTCACGCCCGACATGAGTTTCGAGTAACGAGCTGCGCCATTTGCGAATGATGAGGACGTAGTCCTGTTGGTTGTATACGCTTACATCAGAGAACGTTCTGGCGGCCTGGTGAACAGGCTTATGAGGTTCCGCCGGCGATCAAGCTGCATCTGTTGCAAATGGCTAACAGACGTCTGTGGTTGTCATTCACTCTCAATATCGCAACGACCGAGTACGTCTGTGACAACGATGACGTCATGAGGTGAAAAGCGACAACACCCAACTGCATGCAGTCATACAAAGCATTTTTATCATAGTAATTGGACATATTATATATCATATATCAGGGCGTAAGCAACAGTGTCATTCAGTGTCACCTATTTGAAGTTCTCCTGACAGTACCTGCGCTACCGAATGACCGCTAGGCTTACCCAGGGGACAAAAAGATACCTACATCACACAACGTAATCAGCTCTGGCCTGACCACTAAAATGACTACCTATCCTGCAAGTCAAGTGTCCCCCTTCCTCGGGAGGCGTGCTTCTACATCGAATTTGTACTGTCGGTCCTCATCCACCATCTAACTTTCCTTCGCAAGATAAGGAACAAGCGTTCCAACATGCAATATGGAACTTACACCTTGTAGGGCTGGTTACTGGAATCACGGATTTCTTTATCCATAATTGTATGGTGAGTTGCGTTTCGTGAGGGAAATAAATTCGCCGCCGCTCGCTAGGAAATCACCCTGATCACTGTTGAGGATGATTTCATGACGGGCGTATTTTTACCTTCTTTTCATGAAGGAAATGACAAGGCGCTAACTGACCTCCATTTCAAGTCATCAGCCAGAAACCTGCCTTATTTTAACGGCTGGGTCGACAGCAGTTACGTGACAAGCATAGAGTGTAATCTCACGTTTCTTATCCACTGAGTGGCACTCACTTATCAATCCTGAAAAAGAAGGACGAGTGCAATGACCTCTCGGATCTGCGTTTGAAGCTCTGCAAACTAAGCAACCCAGAGTCTTATGTAATAATAACATCCAGTAACTTTCCCTGCCTTGAGGATACAAAACAAATATAAACTTAAACTACCTCATCCAGATAAAGTGCCTTTTGGCGTTTCTGATGGAACCGTTTAATCTTCTGGCGGATACGTTTGTCGGTTTCCTCCAATTCGTCCACTGACTTCCATTCGCAGTGAATGAAAGACCTAAACTCAAAATCGAGAGTCAACGTATTGAAAAATGCCAACTGAAATCCGTTAGTACAAATCTTTGTATTTGACAAAATACTGCTCAATGCTTGAAGCTGATTCTTTCTCTTCCTGCTCTTCTTCTTTGAAGTTGTCCTTTGCCTTACGAATGGTTCGACAAGCCAAAAGCTTTTCTACTAAGCATGGTTTAACGTCGTAACACTGCGCACCCTGCAAGACGCAAAAGGTTATAAATAATAATCGAAACGAATAAAATTATGACAAACCAAAGGGATATTCAGGGCGATATTTTTCGGCGTGTCTTCGTCACTGGCGCACATGTCAAAGTCGTCTATGTAATGCTTTCTTTTAATCAAACGCTCCGATCTTCTTGTCTGAACAGATAAACGTTTGCAAACTGTGATGCAACAAACATTCAGACTGAATAAAGAAAATTTTTCAAATGCTTCAACATTCATCATGTCGTTCTTCTGAAGAATAACCGACTGCTCTCTTAGCTCAGAAAATTACACTCGCTTGCATGGAATTTTATTACTTACTGGATGAAGCCATGAATTCATATAACGGTTCTTTGTCATCATTTGCCAAAACGCAATACCAAAAACGACAGTTCTCTGTTCTCGTTGAAAAGACGAATTAACAATTCATCGATACAAAAGACTCGTTTCCAACAGAGGTAATTAATCAAACCTTTTGTGTTCAATATTCATATTTACCATTATCTTTCTCGTCAGCTGAATCATGCATATTACCAAGAACCATGATGATATCTTGATACATCTAAATACCTATGTGAAAACGGCCCTGAGTCCGTAAGTGACTTGTAACCTTCTCGAAGAAAAATCTGACACTACTCCTCGGTTTCAGTTGACTCAAAAACTTTATCGATCATCAATTACATTTATATCGTCTACTCACTCGATCAACACAAAAGAAGCAAATGAGTCACGGTCATATATACATACGTAAAAAACTGCATAACACGGGCGATGTGGCCAGCATGCGCGTGGAGGTGTCTAAGACCAAAGGCTTAATGCTTCCTCAATGCAGTGCCCATCGCCCTCTGTAGCTAAACTGAGAAGCACTGGAACATGTGGTGAAGTTCAGGGTCACAATTAATGGTGATCGAAAATTTGGAATGGCCAACGGCGTTTTGTCTGAACAATTCCAAACAGTTGTGACAGAGTTAAGTCTGAAGACTAAGCTGCCTGTGCTCAAATCGATCTTTATATCCGTGCTCACCCATGGTCATGAATCGTGGGACACAACTAAAAACCTTCAATCTCGGTAGGAAGCAACTGAAACTGGCACCTGAGTCTGGTAACTCTAGAAACTAGCAAACGGTGGCGCTACTGCCCATCAGTTATTTTTGTTCGTTACACGTTATTTTTTGTTCCGAAAGCCATTATAAACATACCTCCACCACATGTTCTGGAACGCCGTCAGCCTCAACGACGTCTCCCTTGTTTTCCATTGTTTTTGGCTTCTCCAATTTACTGCCTTTCTCGTTGCCCGAATCGTCAGAATCAAAGAAACTCTTCTTTTTCTTACGAGGTCTTGCAGGTTTCGTTCCATACCTAATAAGAAGGTTGGCTTACGAATGTAATTAATTTATTACAAACATAGTCCTATAAAATTTTATTCCTACAGGACAAAAATAAAACTACGCTTAAAATTATGTAATAACGAAACACGACATTGCTGAACGAATAAATTTGGTTTAAATTTTATAAATATGAAAAATGCTAAAATCAAATATTTGACTGTAAAAGGGGGCCAGTTAATAACCTCAAAAATCAGACAAAACAATATGACAAAAATATCTTAGGATTGGAACGTTACCATGCTTAATCTGAAGAAGACTAAAATTGCTATAATTGAAATATCATACTTTGTAAAATTCTGAAAGTAAATGCCGTTTGAACCGTAGTAGTGAAAAGACATTCATTTTTTGACGATGCAGTAAGGAAAATGATAGAGTAGTTGTGATACTCATTTTTTATCGCCATTTAGTGGTAACATCAGGAATGAATAAAAAATAGATCAATAAAGCTAATTAAATAAAAATAAAATTAATACTGCATCAAAAATAGAGGCTGGTATGCCAGAACGTTTTAACAAACGCTTAATTCTTTCAAAGTCAGATTTTCCAATGCATCTATTATACAACTTATATAAACAGACCATTG